CTTCGTATTTGTTTTTTGCAAAAAAATGTAAAAATGACAATAGTGAAATTTTATATTAAGTAAATCGACCTTAGTATCTTTATTTAATAATATAATTTGTGTACAAGTTTTAGAACAACATATTCGAAATAACATTATTACAATCAATGAACTAAAATCTTCTTTCAGGTCACAACACTATTTATAAATTTGTATTTATACTATTGTATTATGTTTTTTTTTATGCTTATTGTCCGAATCTCAAATTCGAACTGAATTTTTTTTATTTTATTTTTCGATAATATCAACAGAACTTTACCATCAAAAATTTGAAAAAACTAGCCATCTATATTCCCTCCGTCACAATTATTCCAACCGTTTTCAACTGGTTTACCCGATTTCAGATTATACAGACGATCTGGATGACGATTTTGTATCCGGTTCAGAACTTTAGAAAGAATAATAGCCAAGAATATGGCGGTAACAATAATTATTTTAGTTCTTCACAGACACTAGAGTGTCGTAAAGGTAAGGAATTCAATTTCGTTAAACATAATATATTATATCATTCAATTCTAATGCACTCTGAAATTTGTTGGAATTTGATATATTTGTTTACTTCTATGAAGCAAACAATTTTGGGATCAAATATTTATCGGATTTCTTAAAAGCATCTAAAATGCTCAAATATATGTTAAGTCAACTTGTTGCTGAATGTGATATGAGAGAAAGCCTTGCAAGTTCTTCATATGAAATTTCGGTAACGATAGCCAAGAATATAATAGTAATGATAATAGCCATGGTAACGATAACCAAGAATATGGTAGTAACGATAACCAAGAATATGGCAGTAACAATAGCCAAGAATAAGAAAAAAACAAAGAACGAAAGAGGTTTTCTCGTTCAAGATCGAGATCCAATTCTCGCAGACATTAAATGTAATACTCTTATTTATCTTATGTAGTCCTGGCATATTATTACTGATCAACTAATAAATATATTGTTATATGTTTGAAAGTGCTAAACCAATATGGGTGCAATCTTTATATTTTTTATATTAAATTCACTGGGAAATTCATTTATACACATTTTAAAGATGTAATAATCTTTAATGCATATTGCATAATTTCCAGTGTATAGCCCTCTTTGTAGGCATATATAAAAATTCTTATAAACACTTATTTCTAAAGTCAATTGTTATATAGAAAAAGCTACAGATAGACATATTTATATAAAACAAGCTACGAGTAAGGCAGAATTGCTTATGAACCAAGTTTGATTCATAAAAATGGACATGCACATTGTAATTTCCCACAATAAAAATATTGTACAAACCGATAATAGTTATCCATATATTTCAGCAATATATACCTGAAAATCAAAATATATTATAAAATATTTTGTTATTGTTTATACAGTCAACTCTTTTTAAATATATCTCCCCTTAGAAATATATGTATTAGAGAGGTGCGTGTTTATGAAGGCACCATAATCTTGGAATGAAGCCTAGTGATTGACTGTAGCTGAGCAGGGGTGAACGTCCCATCATTTGTAGATTGGTTACATGATTGATAAAAGACTTTTTTATATTGTTTTACAATACTTTTTTAGAAAGTTCGCATAACTTATCCTGCTATGAAAGGTGAATGAGTCTTCTAAGCAAACTTGAAGTATTCGAACCACATTATAACATATTTATTTAATCTTAGTTAATCCCACACCGTTGTATTGCTATGTCTTAGCAAAGTTACGTTTAAAACATATATAGTTGAAAATGTAAAACCACCAAGTTGACTAAATTTTGCATGACAAATGAAGAAAAAAAAAGCAACACTGAAAAGCAATGATTCAGTAAAGGTAA